CAGCTAAAGGGATCCACCCAAAAAATTCGAGAAGTATACCCCGACAACGGTTCCGCTTTAACAAGTCTTAATGGAGATAAAAGGCTAGAGGTTGCTCAGATGGCCTGTAAAGATGAAAACGCCACAAAAAATAAAGAAGTGATGGATGATATTGCCTCCTCCACCGAGATCATGAATACACAACACAAGATTGTTTCGACCTCTGGGAAGAAGTGGAAGATCTCATTCAAAGGGGATACCTGAAATAATACGTAGAGGACCCTAAGGTGACCTCGGACAATGAGCACGATGACAAGTCCCCTGCCAGAGAAATAAGATCGATGTTGGGAGGCCCTGCAGAAAGAGAATCTGGCAGAAAAAGAAAAGCGTGTGCCCGAGAAGCAAGAACAAGCCTAAGTCAATATGAAATTTATCACACATTTCTTGCAGGGCAAGTCTCGAAGATCGAATTCTCTGAAGATGAGGTAACCTACCTCTTCCACCCACATAACGAGGCACTGGTCATCACTTAAAGATAGCCAACACAAAAGTGCATCAAATTTTGATAGATGGGGGCAGCTCGGCAGACAATATCTCTAGCAGCCTATAAAGCCATGGGGTTAGGAGATAGAATATTGAAGAATAGCCCAGTCCCGTTGGTAGGATTCAGTAGAGAGCGAGTCGTCCCATAAGGAAATATAGAGTTACCAGTAACGTTCGGTAGTGGAGTGAAAAGCATTACCAAAATGGTGGAGTTCCTGGTCGTTGACTATACTTCCTCCTACAATGCGATATTAGGAAGGCCAACTATACACATGCTGAAGGCGATACCTTCCACCTACCATCAGTCTATGAAATTTTCGATGCCAAGAGGTATAGGTGAACTTAAAGGAAAACAATGAGTATCGCGTGAATACTACTACACCTCGTTGAAGGGCAACAACAGAGGACAATAGAACCTCTATCTCAGGATTGCTGCTTAAACTTTTGTTTCTTAAATAGGCTTAGGTTGAATTTGCTGCATGGTTAAACCCTAAACCCTAAACCCTGCCTATCTGAAAGACAAACGTTTAAGCAGTAATGATTATCCTGAGATAGGGGTTCTATTGTCCTCTGTTGTTACTCTTCAACGAGGTGTAGTAGCATTCACGCGACACTCGTTGTTCCCCTTTAACGTCACCTATACCTCCTGGCGTCGGAAATTTCATAGACTGATGGTAGGTGGAAGGTATCGCCTTCATTATATGTATAGTTGGCCTTCCCAATATCACATTGTAGGAGGAAGAACAATCAACAACCAGGAACTCCACCATTTTGATAATACTTTTCACTCTAGTATCGAACGCTACTGTAACTCTATACTTCCTTTTAGGACGACCCGCTCTCCACTGAATCCTACCAACCTGGCTGGTCTATTCTTCAATGTCCTATCTCCTAACCTCATGGATTTATAGGCTATTAGGGATATTATGTCTACTGAGTTGCCTCCATCAATCAAAATCTGATGCACTTTTGTGTTAATTATCTTTAAAGTGATAACTAGTGCATCGTTATGTGGGTGAAAGAAGTGGGTTACCTAATCTTCTGAGAATTCGATCTTCGAGGCTTGTCTTGCAAGAAATGTGTGATAAATTTCATATTGACCTAGGCTCGTTCTAGCTTCTCGGGCACTCGCTTTTCTTTTTCTGCCAAATTCTCTTTCTACAGGGCCTCCCAACATCGTTTTTATTTCTCTGGCAGGGGACTTGTCATCGTGCTCATTTTTCGAGGTTGCCTTAGGGTCCTCTACGTATTCTTTGAGGTATCTCCTTCGAATGAGATCTTCCACTTCCTCCCTGAGGTCGAAATAATCTTGTGTCGTATGGTCATGATCTCGATGGAAGAGGCAATATCATCCCTTAATCCTTTTGTTGGGTCGCGCTTTCATCCTTTCAGGCCATTTGAGCAACTGGTCTTTTATCTTTATTAAGACTTGTTCAAGCGAAACCGTTGTCGAGGTAAATTTCTCGAATTTTTTGGGTGGATCCCTTTGGCTAGTTCGATCCCGTTTATTGTCTGCTTGCTCCCATCTTGATCCCTGCTGTCTTCCCTTGAGATCCCGTTTTGAATGAAAAACTTCCCAGCACTCATATACTTTTGGGCACGGCTCAATGCCTCCGAGAAGGTACTTGGGGTATTCTTCCCAAACAAGAATGTTAGGTGTTCATCCTTTACGCCAGACATGAAAGCCAGAAGCGACATTGCATCTGTCAAACCCTAGACCTGTAGCTTTTCTTCATTGAGGCTCTCTGTCGACCTTTGCTTTATAGTAAAGAGGTATGCCACTCGTCGGCTTCTATTTCGTCCTCCCACAAACTGAGTGACGAACGCCCTAGCCAATTCTTCGAAACTTAAGATTGACCCTCTTTTTAGTTGTCGAAACCAGACTCGAGTCGAGCCGTTCAAGGTAAAGGAGAAAATTTGATGCCTAATCGCCTTTGTCAGGCCGTAAATATCCATCTATTCGCAGTATGCGTCGAGGTGATCAACCAGGTCTACCGAACCGTCGTATTGCTTTATGATTGGGAGTTTAAACTTCGGAGGAACCTTCTCTCACATTATCTATTCCGTAAACGGAGAGTTTGCCTGGTTTATAAACTCCTCAAGATTGAACCTCTTCTCTTTCTGACTCAGCGGCTTCTATGACGGTTCAAGTCGATCTAGTGGATTTTCCTTGTCGAGATCAACAGGCCCGAGGTCTTCTCGATCATCTTGACGGTCCTTGCTCCCATTGTGTATTGCACACCTCAACTGTCTCGTGGTCGACTCTTGACCTAATCGACAAAAGATTCTGATTCACCGTTTGTCGTTCCCTCATAGTTTCAGCTTGCTTTGAGCATTATTGGTCGACTCCTCAACCTCGTCCAATTCAGTGGAATTTGCCCTTCCGCGGGTCTCTGATGAGCAGAGGTAGTCTCACTTCTTGCTGCTCCAATTGTTGGAGGAGTAAGGTTATGTTCTGATACATTCCCCCAACTTTCTCCTCTAGGGCGGCCAACTTGTCCTCTAGTTGCCTTAGAACCTCGATCAGCTATCCTCTACGTTCTGGGATTTACCGATCGGTCTCTCTTAGAACCTGCTTGAGAACTTGTCGACTGGTCTCGCCCTTGATCCTTTCTAATAGAGGGATATCCAAATTCAGGTTGCTCTTCGAGTGGCACTCCTCGTTAGAGCATCGTGGATTTCCCTATGAATTCATGTTGTTTGACTATACGATTTTTTTATCGTCTCCAAAGACGGCGCCAGTTGTTAATGCGGGAATTTGGCCTCCTGGGTTCTCGCCAAATTCGCAATAAACCTCGATAATCACGGGATAGATAACCTGCAAAACCGAACAACACTAAACCAATGTGACTCCTGTCACACGAGCTCCGATGCTGAAGTTAGGAGCGGAGAAGTCGTTTGCAGAGTATAAAGTATGTTTTTTAGCTTACCTCTGGGTTTAGCATGTTGCCCTATTTATAGGGGTTTTTCCATTAGGTTCTTCTTGGAGATCTCTCGTGCTAGACTTGTCTAGTCCACAGTTAATGGAGTTGTGGAGTCGTAGGGGCCCTTGGACTGAGGCACTTCAGTTGACAGGAGAGGAAGGAAAGAATTTCCCAACCATTTAAGCACTTGTTAATGAAAGATATAAAAAAAATAATAAACAAAAAAAAAACATAACAAACTCACTCTTCACTGACACTTTTGAGGTGACGTAAGTGTCAATATACCTTGCATATTGAAAAATACATAAAGTTGATTAGAGTCAAATCAAAATAAGATTTCATTGAAATTGCATAACTCCCGTAAGTTCAAATCTCCACCACACCCATATTGAACTAAAAAGAACATTTATTTATTCTCCCTCGAGAAAAAAATATTTGTTATAGGAAGATAAAGCGAGATCAGATAGAACGAGCAGAAGATAGAGGTTGGGCTAGGGAAGGAGCTGGTTTTCCAGGTAAAGAGGTCGAAACTCGACAACCTAGGCCAACCATAACAGACTTAGGGTCAACGTCGAACATTGCTCTGTGCCGACCAGGCCTCGACGTCGAGACCTTCTCAACACCGAGGAGTTCTCGACCTCAACCAAGAACCCTGATGGTTCTCTCCTAACCCCGCACACGACCAGACCTTCTCGACACCGAAGAGTTCTCTACCCCCAACCGAGAACCCCGATGGTCCTATCCTAACCTCGCGCAGTCTGATTCGAGTTTACCTTGTCTCAACCCTAGATTCGATATTGGACCCATTGCGAAACACACAAACCCAAGAGTCCAGATCTCCTTGGCACATTAAGATTCAACTTCTATTAATAGAAAGGTAAACGAAACCTTAGATGTATGCCTAAATATCCTCCTCTCTACACTTGATTACTCAAACATTGGAACCCGTGTGACAAAAGTCATATCGATCCTAACGACCATACGATATTGAATGTGACTACCACATTGTGTACTCACCATAATTTTTAGTTTCTTTGATAGTTCCTCTCCCACATCTAATGGCTTATATCCACCAATCGTTTTATTCCAACACCTACTCCCTAAATTTAAGTAGATCAAGAATAGCATTTCGAATGTAATTTTTTTAAAGGATAGAAATTGAGATTTAAAAGTTAATGACTCATTTGGTGAAGTTTACATTTCTTCATTTTTAATTAAAAAAAATGAATTATATAGCCTCAAAATCGATGAATTCAAATAAGATAAAACAGTCTTTTTATTTATGATTTGAAACAAATTGGAAGTAAGAACAAAAAAAATAAAAAGTTTGTTTTGATTGTTTGCAAAATTTGTATACAATTTGAGAATGTTCCCAAAAAAATGAGAAACAATAAACATAGTTGCAAAATGCTAAGATTCCTTGTAAAAATTAGAAACGAGAAATAAGAAACGAAAACGTTACTAAATGAACCCTAAATTACCACCAATTTCAGGTCCACAACACATGCGATTTCATCTCAAAACTAATTGACAATAAGGAGAGTAGCTCATATCTACTATAAATCATTATTAGATCCCTTTTCTTTTCAATGTAGGATCCTTAACCTCCTTAATCTTTATCATCTTACCATGTACTATGGACATAAGGGCAACATGTCAGTGATTTTCAGCACGAGAAACAGAATGTTGCACAGCCAATCCGAACAAGGAATTGAAAAGGAAAACAATGAAGTTACTCACTTGTGGCCTTTTATCTCCTTAAAAGTTGCAAAATTGTCGAGTAAGTTTCTATATTGATTCTAGAATTCACTTTCTTCCACAAAAGGAAGGACCGAATTATAAAGAGAATGACTATAAAACAAAGGATCCCTGCCAATTGCTTATAGAAGCCATATAAAAAAAGGTTACTTCATACACGAGCAAGATTTCCGGCTCCAACAGGACGAGGTGTTTGACCAGGCTGGCCAGGCTTTGGCTGATCCTCCTGAACAAACAAACACGAAATAATGTAACAAGAATCATAGGCTATTCCAGAGCACTGTTGAATAAAATTTTAGACTCAAAATAATATCATTAATATGTAACAAGTATATCTCTACTTGTAAGTAAACAGGCTTAAGCACAAATAAATGAGCCAATGAACAATAATGAGCATAGTTTAGATGCACTAAGTAATGTTAATCTTCTACATGAGCATCAATGGTTCTCCAAATAGTTGGTATCGTTATTCGAATCAAATTTGTACATAATCCAGATCAGTAGGAGCTTTAACATATCAAACTGAAAGAAATGTAGGGGAACCATTTGAACCAAATGATGTCTGATGGATAATTTTCTTGATACGTAGTATATAATAAGTATTTAATGCAAAAGTATCCTTCAAGTCTCCGTATATAATCATACAAATACTCTAACAGCAAACTCATCCTAAAATTTTGAGCTCATCAAAAGTGGATAAACAATTAAGTAGTAAATAAGGATAGACACATTATGATGCATTATAAATACGATTACTCCATTATGAATCAAAGCTATAGATGTTATGTAAAGAGGCCAACCCTGCGTCTAATGAAGCGCTGTGGTGGTTGCCGATTTCTTCTATCCGTACGAGAACGAACTCTCACAACATGTGAGTGAATGGCACAGGAAACACAGTACTGCATCTTAGCATAAAGCTTAGGGAGAGTATATTCTATACAGAAAACAAAAATCTATATCAGACAGTGAACAAAAACATCTTTGATACATGAAATCAAGCAACCACGAGACTAGCCGGGGTGGAGATAATAACTTACGATCATAGACACAGGCTTCTTGGACATCCCTAACAGCAGCCTGCTCCACAATGTTCCTTACCAAAAACCTCTTAATGGCCTTGTCCTATTCCCGTCAATCAAAACTCATGAAGTTAGATTTAATTCTCTCCCAAATTTTCGCTCAAATAAAACTGAGCTCCTCTGTCTCACGATTGACACTCAAATTTCTCTTTATCCAAGACTAATAGTGAGTTTAGGAATGCTGTTCGGAATTGCATGGTTAAAATTAACACTCTCCAAAGAAACCAAATCACTTTTATAAGTATTTCTAAATTAAATATGTAGCAGGGTATTAAACACCAAATGACATTTCTGTCGAGATTTCGTTTCCACGGTATTGGAAAAAGAATGTCAACATATGAAAAATATCAATAAAATATCATTATTGTCGACATAATATTAATATAATTCATTTTTTACTGTCGCAACGTCATCGTGAGGCGGAGTGGCCGACGTCATCCCTCAAAAACAGATCACTGAGCGTAGGGAAGGTGTTAGCACCCTACGACACCCGTTTGAAAACGGTACCACATCTGGCACACATAAAGACTTGAACTTTTAATATGGTTGTTAATACTCAAAGCTCTTGCCAGTGTGCAAAGCTCTTAGTATGCAATTTAAAATCGTTTTTTATAATATAAAATTTTTATTTTTTAATTTTGTTTAAAAAAAATAAACGAAAAAATTTATTTAAAAAGAAAAAAAAAAACTTTTATTTAATAAAAACAATGATAAAAAATGAGGCAATCAAAGACTTGAGCTTGTGTCATGTATGTCAATACACTAGTACATTGCCAATGTGATATTGCCTTAGGATACACATTATGCTCTTTTTTAAAATACAAATCTCTGTATTTTTTAATTTTATTTAAAAAAAAAGGAAAACAAACGTATAAACGAAAATTTAAATAAAAAGAAAACTCTTTATTTTGTATTCCTATAAAACTGTTTTATACAAAAAAAATAAAAATAAAAATACGATCGATTCGCTAAACATTCGACGATTCGAGATGAGCTAATCTTATTTAAACAAACTTATTTAAAATATCTTATTCAAAATTTTCAAATCTTAAATAACAAATCTTCTAAAAACAAACTTTACATACGTATGATTTTAGATTTATTAACTTTAAAACAAAATTTATTTAAAAAAAAAAGAATCAATWTTCTTTTATTTAAAAATAAAGGGAGAAACCGATTAAAAAAATGCAAGAGGAAATGGAAAGAGACAGAGAGGACGTGAATTGAGACTGCCATTAGACCATCACGGAGAATCTCTATTTCTCTGTTAAACGGGGTGAAAACTCAATAATTCGTCCCACTATAAAACTTGTGTATTCTATTGACAAAATCAGGGATTCATGCTCTCCCCCATCCCCGTTTATCATCCACTTGGGACAAGAGAAAAGAAAGGAAAAAAAAAAAACTTTCATAGTTGACTGATGTAATCGAAATAGGGTGAGATGATTGAACTTACCATGTATGAATTGGAATTTGAGGAGATTTCGACAATGAGAGTGAAGTAAAGTCTGACGCCCAGGCAAATTCTCAAACTTGTGTGATGCGCAAGAAAATTTGAATTTTTAAAGCAATTTCTATGAGATTTGTGCTGCCCCTGCTCTCACGTTGTCTTCTCTGTGTGTCAGTTCCCTTTCCCCTCCTTAAATAAGCAAAAATGTAACGGTAACAATGGGGAGGGTCAAAATTGAAGAGAGAAAAAAAGAGGAAAATAACGGAGAAAAGGCCACGTTATAGTAGTTTTGACGAGTAAAACAGAATCGGTTTTATTAAAAAAAAAACTTTTTTTTTTAAATTTAAACAAATCTTTTTATTTACTTAAAATCAAATCTTATTTATTTATTTATTTTAATAATAAATCAAATTCTTTTAAAACAAAATCTATTWTTAAATTTAATTAAAACCTTACMTTAAAAATAATAACGTAAAATATGTTATTTTTAATGAAAACAAATAAAATTTTATAATATAAAATATTAATATTAATGTTAATAATAAATAAATAAAATAATAAAATTTGAGCCGGA